TTGGTTTGAAGGGCTTTTTTTTTTTTTTTTTTTTTTTATAGCCGTCGGGGGCGCCTGGGTGGCTCAGGCAGGAAGGGGCGTGGTAAATTTGAAAAGGCCGGTTGGTTTGAAGGGCTTTTTTTTTTTTTTTTTTTTTAAATAGCCGTCGGGGGCGCCTGGGTGGCTCAGTTGGTTAAGCGTCTGCCTTCGGCTCAGGTCATGATCCCAGAGTCCTGGGATCTAGTCCCACATCCGGCTCCTCACTCAGCAGGGAGCCTGCTTCTCCCTCTGCCTGCCACTCCCCCTGCTTGTGCTCTGTCAAATAAATAAGTAAAATCTTAAAAAAAAAAAAAAAAAAAGAATGTGGGTAGAGATACATTTTTTGAAATGAAGTCAGTTATAGTAAATCATCTCTGAACAAAACTGCAAACTAATTAAATCTCTTGCTCCAGAACATAAGCATAATCAGGAAGAATCGAAGTAGAAAGAGCTCAAAGGCAAGATGCCTGAGCAACATGAGAACAACACCTTGTCAGGAAACTTGAGCAGTAATATAGTCCCTTCAATGGAGTACTTTTTTAAAAAGGTTTTTTTTTTTTTAAAGATTTTATTTATTTATTTGAGACAGAGAGAATGAGAGACAGAGAGCATGAGAGGGAGGAGGGTCAGACGGAGAAGCAGACTCCCCGCCAGGCAGGGAGCCCGATGCGGGACTCGATCCCGGGACTCCAGGATCATGACCTGAGCCGAAGGCAGTCGCTTAACCAACTGAGCCACCCAGGCGCCCTAAAAAAGGTTTTATTTATTTATTTGAGAGAGAAAAAGAACATGAGTGGGGGGGGGAAGGGCAGAGGAAGAGAGAGAAGCAGACTCCCCACTGAGCAGGAAGCCCAATGTGGGGCTCGATCTTAGGACCCCAGAGATCACGACCCAAGCTGAAGGCAGACACCTAACCAACTGAGCCACCCATGCACCCCCAACTGAGTACTTTTCTGAATAGGAAATGGTTAATAAGGATTTTTGGTAATTTTCTTTTCTTTTTTAAGTTTTATTTATTTATTTGGCAGAGAGAGTGCAAGTAGGCAGAGCAGTAGAGGGAGAGGGAGAAGCAGACTCCCCACTGAACAGGGAGCCGGATGCGGGGCTCGATCCCAGGACCCCTGGGATCATGACCTGAGCCGAAGGCAGAGGCTTAACCAACTGAGCCACCCAGGCGCCCCAGGATTTTTGGTAATTTTAATAAAAAGAAATGATTCATTAGCATTCAACATATAATCAAGAAATGTATCTTTTGTATAGAACATTTCATCCAACTCACCTTCTTTCTAAAGACTGAAAATGAAAGTCCACAGGCTTTGCAAACTATGTTAGGCCCTTCCGTAGGTGCTGGTGGGTAAGTGGAAAAATCAGAGTTTGGTGCAAATCTGAATGGACCGGTACCTCCTGCAAATCCTGACTGCTGGCCCCGGACAGCTCCAGTTCCCATGACTTCATTCAGCAGCCCACAGCATGAAGCCCACATAGACGTGGCACCCGCCTAGAAAGGAAAACAAAGACCACAGTTTAAAGCTGAGTGGAACCTGGGCTCTCTGCAAACTTCAGGGAATGCCATTCTGGAGAGGTACATTTGCCCTAAATAATTCTGAGATTATTCTTCTGAGGAATAAAACTGATATATAATGAATCTTAGGTGTACATTACAATTCGATTTTGTATACGCTACAAAGTGATCACAAATCTAGTTCCCATCCATCACCATACAATTGAGCCCCTTCACCCATTTCACCCCTCCTCTTATCCCTTTCCCCTCCAGTAACCAGGAATCTGTTCTATGAGTTTGTTCATTTGTTTTTTTAAATTCCACATATAAGTAAAATCATATAGTATTTGTCTCTCTTTGCCGAACTTACTGCACTTAGCATAATTCCCTCAAGGTCCATCTGTGTTGTTACAAATGGCAAGATTTCCTTCTTTTTGATGGCTGGGTAGTATTCCATTGTATGTACCTACCACCTCTTCTTTATCCATTCACCCACCAAGGGACACTTAGGTTTTCATATCTTGATTATTGTGAATAATGCTGCAGTGAACATAGGGGATGCACAGATCTTTTTGAATTAGTGTTTTCATATTCTTCAAATAAATACCCGAAGTGGAGTAGCTGGATTATGGTAGTTCCATTTTTAATTTTTCAAGGACCCTCCATACTGTTTTCCACAGTGGCTATACTTACGTTCCCACCAACAGTGTACAAGGGTTCCCTTTCTGCCACATCCTCACCAACACATTATTTCTTGTCTTTTTTATAATAGCCATTCTAGTAAGTGTGAGAGGATATCTCACTGTGGTTTTGAGAGATTATTCTTGGAAGCATCAAAAGTTTAAGCTCTTTGGAAAGAGATAATTTTCTGGTATTTTCAAAGAATATTTGGCGATGGGGAAACTTGCGACATCATTAAACAAAAGGAAAAGATACAATATGAACCCAATTTTTGTAAAAAAAGAAAAAAACCCACATACACTGAAACAGAGATACATGTGTGTGCACGCAAAGAAAAATGACTGGATGGACGTACACATTGTACAACATGTGACATATGCTTACACCAAAATAGCTGTTGGTTGTTTATCTGAAATTCAAACTTGACTGAGCACCCTCTATTCTCTCCGGCACCTTCACCTGGTGACTGTACTAGACAGCGCAGTTCTACAGGTTAAGGAAGATTTTTCCCAGCTATCATTTAGCAAACCAAATATAAACTCAAATTACTTAATTTCATTAAACTTCTGTTCTCTCATGTGTAGCCGTGCATAATAAACTACGGCATATATATATTTTATTTTGAAAAAATGATTGGGAAAACATCAAAATGCCAACTGAAGCTCTAGGGTTTTAATATAACTTGTATAAATCTATTTTCTTTCTACTTTCCAAGCTCTTTATAAATATACTACTTTGACATTAAAAATATATTTTTAAAAAGCAGTGATCCTATCTGTTCAAAATGAGAACACTAAACACAATTTCTGATGACTGGATAACCATAATGACCTTCCAGGGCAGAAGGGCTATTTGTCACTCCACTAAATGGCCTGAAATTAATGTATTGCCTTTAGTTTTTTTTCTCCTGTCTCTTCCCTGTGAGGCACCACTGCTCACATTATACTCACCTCCAGCAACCTGTCTCCTTTTTTACTGCAGACTCAGAAACCTGATAACCAAGCTGGTCAGAGTATATATGAAAATATATTTTCAATGAGCACTCAAGGTACTTTCCCATGCAAAAGTATAAAAGCTATAGTGTTTGGAACCAATGAGCTTTTACCCCTTGTCCTAATTCTTAAGCACATTCTAGACTCTAGATAATGTGATAGATAATGGGAGTCCAGGTAGGTGAGATGTGATTAGTTAAAATGGCAACACAGTTCCATATTTTATTATCTAACTCTATCAAATATTTACTATTTGTCCAACAAACTCTTTAAAAAAATTTTTAAAACAACCTTAAAAGGCTATTTAGAATGCTATAGAAGAATCATGCTATTCTTGCTATTTCCCACACGTAATATGCTATATTAAATATAGGGAAAGGAGAAGGTAAAGCAATAAGAAACCACAATACAGTGTTCAAACAGTCTCAAGTTTCAGGGTCACTGACTTGAGTATTATATAGCTTCATACCCTATAATTCTAGAGAAATAGTGATGCCTTTAAAAGTCAGGTTGAACTATAATTAATAGTTCATACCTTTAAATAAATATATACCTCAGACTCTAGAGCCATGATATGTTTAAACATAAAAGCATGAAAATCCAGATTAAGTTCATTTAAAGTGCGTGTTCTTTTTTGTGGTGAGCACAGCATAACTTATAGAGGTGTCAGTCATTATCTTATACACCTGAAGCTAAGGTAACATCGTATGTCAACTATACTTCAATAAAAATTTTTAAAATTAATTTTTAAAAAAGTATTCTTTTAGCGAAAGATTCATCCTCAGTGCTTTAAACAATGAGCTCTTGGACGGCCTGGCTCACTCAGTGGAGCATGTGACTCTGGATCTCAGAGTCATAAGTTTGATACCCGTGTTGGGCGTAGAGATTACTTAAAAAAAAAAAAAAGTGAGCTCTTAAAACTGAAAATGTTTTTAAAAATTCAATTTGTGGGGTGCCTGGGTGGCTCAGTAGGTTAAGCATCTGCCTTTGGCTCAGGTCATGATCCTGGAGTCCTGGGATGGAGCCCTGACCCCATCAGACTCCCTGCTCAGCCGGGAGCCTGCTTCTCCCTCTCCCTCTGCCCCTTCCCCCCATCGCGCTTACACTCTCTCATTCACTCTCTCAAATAAAATCTTTAAAGAATAAAATAAAATAAAAATTCAATTTGCATTACACCTGAAACTAATATAACACTGTGTTACTTGTACTGGAATTAAAAATAAATGTTTTTCAAGTTTGCGGTTGGGGGAAAAAAATTCAACTTGTACATATCATTTTCAGGGGCGAAATACCTCAATTGCAGAAAGTACCACTGGGATAAACTCTTCTTCATTCCAAGAGTTTAAAGTAGTAGTTTTTGGTGAGCTTCAGCTTCCTGCTGGCCTGGGTACTAAACAGTTAAACAGCCCTGTCGGCTTTTATCCCCTTTCTGATTCCCAGTGACGCTGCCTCCCCAACTCAACTGAAAGTTCCTTGTGAACACAGCTCCCTTTTTCTACAGCATCTAGCTCCACCACCATTACTGGTAAGAAAAGAACTGTGTAACAGGTTTCTTTATATTACCTCTTTCCACGCACCGTAACATCAAATTTTGCGTGCTGCCTAGAAAGATCCACTTGTAACTAGTTGAGAAAGTATTAAAGGTAAAAAGGATTCTGACCTAGCAGGCATGAATTCTCAAATGATACTCCCTCTTACAAGCACCACTGTCACAGTTCGTTCTCCCAGAAAGCAGTTTTACAATGAGAGTTAAGGAAGAATATACATTTCAAACTCTATTAATGAGTATAATCATTAAAATTCTAAGCTGAAAATATTCACAGCTCTAGTGAAGGGAAAAGAATTTACTTTGGGAAAACAGGTAGAATCTCTATGCAGGCATCAATATAGGAGAGTAACAATTTCATCCCATTCCTCGTTTCTATAAAGGGGAGGGAATTTCCTCTTCATTCCCCAGAAGGGAAAACAATGAAAAGAACACTCCTATCTTCTTTTGGCCATCTCATTACAAAATAAAAACAAAGCTCAAGCCAACCACCGAAGTGTTGTCCCAGGCAAAAATATGTTGCTGCAACCTAATATTTGGCATAACTCAGCCAAAGACCGTAGCAAAGGGAAAGAGGAAACACAGAAAAGATCTAGGTCTCAGCTTCATTAGGTCTGTAAACTTAAGACAAAACCTCCCAATAAGAGAATACTCTGATCACACTCGAGAGTAAACCTACCTACATATACTGTTACCCTCTAATGATAGCATTTGCAACACTCCAGCCTTCTTCAAAGTTCAGAAATTTGAAATAGTGGAAGCCCCAGTCACTAGTTTTATTTGAAGTACCTTTCTTTTGCATCCAGCATATTTTTTAAAAATTAATTTCCATTTCCCCCTTAAGTCCCATGTTTTCTGGCACACCAGTGCTGAAAGGAAGGTGATTTCTTTAGTGCTTCGACATCTATGACTTCTTGGGAGCAGGTGTTTTCAGTCTTGTATCACAAAGGCTACTGCCAAGGTCTCTTGATAGGAAATTGCACAGGCATGTTAAGTGGCCCAGAAAGTCGTGGCTGGACTCAACAAGGGGGCCTTAAAAAATCCTGAGGCCTGGGTCCCACCCCAGAAATTCTGACTTAACTGGTCTGGGGTATAACCTGAGGCATCAGAATTTTTTTTTTTTTTTTTTAAGTAATCTCCACCCCCAACGTGGGGCTTGAACTCATGACCCAGGGACCAAGAGTCACATGCTCCAGCAACTGAGACAGCCAGGTGCCCCTGGAATTTTTTTTAAAGTTCCCCACGTGGGGCTCCTGGGTGGCTCAGTTGTTAAGTGTCTGCCTTGGGCTCAGATCATGATTCCAGAGTCCTGGAATCATGGGCTCCCTGCTCAGCGGGAAGCCTGCTTCTCCCTCTCAGCGGGAGAGGGAGAAGCAGGGAAAATCTTGAAATAAATAAATAAATAAATAAAGGTCCCCACGTGATTTGAATTACAGTGGAGGCTAACGGGTTAACAGCGGCTTGGTTTAGGTGCTCTCTTCTTCCTGCCTACAAGGTTTTAGCTGGAAAACCACTCAGCGGAGTGCTGATAAGAAGGGGCTATGGTTACTTCTGAAGCCTGTACCTCTCTCCAAGACCAAGACATTAGCCAAACACTCCTCACAACCTGTGGACAATTTTTCCCCATAGGAGTGGGTCATGTTTCTAGGGTTTCTTCTCCCTCTACGGTCTCCCCTAATCCCTTCAGGAAGGCTTGGCTGAGTTTTTAACAATCTCATCTGATTCTTAAATTAGTTCCTTTCTATATATTGGCCCAGAATTTTTGCTGAAATTGGTGCCTTCCTTCATTTTTAATTTATTCCCTCATTTTATTTACTCTTTGCTTTCTGGCCCTAACTTTTTATTTCCCAACTTATTCCTCTACATGTTTTGTGTGAAATCTCCAGTACTAGGAGAAAGGCAGTGATTTTTGGGACAAAAACCACCATTGTTCAAACTATTTTTGTCCTTCACCTCCAAGTTGAAGAATCCACTCAGAAGATGAATCTCCCCAGCCCTGGTTGGGCTCCATCTCCTTGCCTCCCCTTTAGGAGGTTTCATCTTCCAGCACTTTCCCGTAAAGTCCCAACTTCCTACTTTTTTTTTTTTCCTAATTTTTTTTTTTTTTAAGATTTTATTTATTTATTTGACAGAGAGAGACACA